CATCTTCTTAAACTTCCCACGCTCCTGTTGGGGGCTAAGGGAATGCTTATCTCCCCGAGCGTGACCTTCATCCAACCATTCCTTCACAGTAGTACAGATTAATAACCTAGATATTTTAAATGAAAATAAATCATTTATTTATTTTCTTATATATTCTTAAAATATCTACTTAGATATTTTAAATGAATTAAAAAGTTAATGATTACATTTTATGAATTAGTTAAATATTAAGGATATTAATGTTAAATATTTCCCTTTCAGAGTACTGGCTTTCATATGAAAATGTATTTATTATCCCAGTTTATACAGCTGCCCATCTCAAGTTCATGTCTCTGGGTGGCTATGAATAATTAAAACAGTATAAAAAACATGAAAGAAACAAAGAAACAGCAACACACATATGATCCACAGCTGGGATAAAAACAAACTCACCAATAACAAATGAACACAATCATTGCATGGGCTCAGTCACACCTCCAGATCCCCACGCCTGGTGACAGAACCATGTCTTCAAAGCCTTGCAAAAGTTCAACAAGTGGGGAGGGATTCTAATCTCTGGGGGAATCATATTCCAAAGGATGGGCACTATAATAGAAAAGGCTCTTTTCCTGGGCCCCACCACAGTACACTCCATAATAGACATGACCTTTGCCAGTCTTAATGGGGTGGATAGACATAATTGGGGAGAGGCAGTCCCTCAAATAACCCAGCCCCATGCCATGAAGAGCTTTATAGGTTACAACCAGCATCTTGAATTGAACCTGAAAGCATACTTGCACCAATGCAGCTCACTGAACAGAGGTGTAACATGCACTGATTGAGGAGCAAACATAATTACCAATTACTTATTAGCTACAGCTTCTGGATACTCTTCAAGGGCAGCCCCATGTAAAGCACATTGCAGTAGTCCAGGGGGGGTGTTACCAAGTCATGAGTGACTGTGAGCAGGGCCTCATGATCCAGGAAAGGGTGTAATTGGGGCACAACATGAAGTTATGCAAAGGCCCTCCAGACCACAGCTGCCACCTCTTCCTCAAACAGAAGTTATGAGTCCAGGGGGACATCCAAATTGTGCACTGGTTCTGTTTGGGGTAGTACAGGCCCATCCAGAACTAAAGAGGAAAAATCCTGGAACCAGGGGGCCCTAATACCCAATGCCATTCTGTCTTGCTAGGGTTGAGTTGAAGCCTGATGTTCCTCATACAACCCCCTACAGCCTCCAGAGACTGAAACAGAACCTACATTGCATCACGTGGGTGGCCAGGGGCAGAGATGTAAAGCTGGGTATCATCAATATACTGATGATACTTCCCCCCATGCTGTTGGATGACCTCACCCAGTGGCTTCATGTAGATATTAAACAGGAGCAGAAAGAGCACCAAGCCTTGTGGAACCCTGCAAAGCAGGACTTATGGGTTGGACCTCCCTCCCCTATCAACACTGACTGGAACTGGCCACAGAGAAAGGAGGAAAACCAGTACAGCACAGTACCACCCACTCCCAACCCTCAGAGACAATCCAGAAGGATACCATGAATTGGTATTGAAAGACACCAAGAGGTCAAGAAGAGTGAGGATGGATGCACCATGTAAGAATTGCCGCATTCGACGCCGAGTAAAGACTGCGTGAGGTGCGGGCTCGTACAAAAGCAATTTACTCAAGTGTAATGCATGTGGTTACAAACAAAGCCAGGGTTGACTTGGCACAGGTTACATTGCATTTTATAGTCTCCCTGTTTCCCGCGCTTTGCAAGTCCCGCCTGTTGACCCTGCCTGCCCCTGCCCACCTTTACCCATCCTTGGCTCAGCCCTTACCCTCAGCTCTCCCCGCCCTGGGCCGATGGCAGGTTCAGCCAGGGTCCTTTGTTTTTGGCTGCTTTTCTTGCGTGGCAGGTCCCATGCGGCTGACTCACGATTGCTCTTGATGGGTGGTTGAGCGCGGCTTGAGCTGCGGAGTTTTTTGTCTTCATTGTTGGCTGCTTGCCTGCGGCGGTTGGGGGAAGTCCCATTTGTTACAAAGTAATTGATTCCTGCCTCGGGTTGATTGCTGCCACCTGTCGTGGGTTGATTGCTGCCACCTGTCGCGGGTTGATTGCTGCCACCTGTTGGCAGTTTACTTGTGGTTTTGCGCTTCCTCTTTCGATCGCCTGTGCCTGAGGCAAGGAAACTGACTAGGCGCGTTTGAAATTAGCTAGACAGAATGGCGGCTAGCTTGAATAGCATGTGCCGTGCCAGGCTGAACCTGACACACCACCCATCCCACTCCCACCAGACATCATCTACAAGTGTGCTCAATGCAGTGGAAGTTTTTATTTCCCTTACTTTAAATTATAACCTTGGAAGTATTTTTGTCAACTTCTATAATGTCTTGAAATGAAAATTAAATTGAATATGCAACCAATTAAAGAGTTATTACTTGACATGATTGAAATCTTGACAAGTACTTGGTTCTGAATATGCCTATGAATTCTTTAGTATTCCCAGCAGTGAAGTCATATATGAATGATATGGGATAAGAAATTAAATTTTGATCTTTCTTTAGAAGTTAAACCAAGAATTCGGTGTTATCAATAATGTAAAAATGTTACAAAATGATATTTGGACAACCTATAAGAAATTTGGAGTAGAGAACCTATGGTTTGAATTTGTAAGGAATATTAAATATATTTCCCATGGTCTTTAAACAAGGTTCATTCATTAAAAATAAAAATTCAAAATTTACTAGAGTCCTCAGTGGATATTAAAAAATGATTGGTTGTCATCTTTGATATGCTGGAGATATGAACAATTTGAAAAGACATTACTGCACATGCTTAGTCGTGGCCATTTTTTTGGTTGGATACTCTTACTATGGTGCACCAGATATTTGGTAGGAAGTTAAGCTTTAAAGGCATTAATGTGCTGTTACCTGGTTTGCCAAAAAAAAACCCCTGAAATGTAACCATTTATAAAGATCTTTGGATCTGTCATGCTTGCACAGTTGCCTTAAAGATTATCATGCATACTGGATAGTAAAGGTTGGTTCAACAAAATTTGTCAGGTGTGAGTTAGCTCTTTGTCAATGAAAAGGAAAAACTAAACAATATTGATGCAATGTAATCAAGGTTTAACTTGGTGTTTAAAAACTGAGATGTAGATATAATAGATAGATATAATCAATATATTTGTATTACTGTAATGTATTATTGGATTGTGCCTCTCTATATATGTTACTTGGTAGTTCATTTTACTGGGATTTTTTAAATACTTTGTTTTGTTTGATTTGTATTCACATGTTTTGGATTTTTAATCTCTTTTTTAATTGCAATAAAAACATTTTTTTAAAAAAACTGCACTCTCTAACTCCCTACTTGATATCTCACTCTACTTTGATAAGGAGTTACTGACTTACCCTCTTTCATCTGTCTGCTATTCCATCAGTTCTGTAGGATTTCTTAAAGATAATGGTTACTGGTTTGGGCAGACTGATTGTAAGTTCCTTCAGTAACCAAGGATATAATAAAATGTGTTAGTCTGAAAAAGTTCTATCAGAGTCTTCCTGATTTTTGGCTATCATAGATTAACACATGTCTTCTCCTACAATGTCAAGGATGTAATTAATCTAACTCTGGAAATGTTATCTCTTTCATTATCATTATGTATTCCCTGATTATCCTTCTATTAAGGTATTAACCCCGGTCCTTCAACCTGCTATTCAGAGTTATCCAGTTTTCCTGTCTTAAGTGAGTAGTTGATGATACTGTTTCTTTTCTTTTCCTTTTATTTTGAACATATGCTTAGTAAGTCTTTTTATTCTTACCAAATTTTATCACTCTAACATATTTATTGGGCTTTTTCTTTCTTTCTTTTTTTTTGCAATCATAATGGTTTGTTCTACTGATTTTGTTACATGAAATTCCATCAGATATTGATAGATAGATAGATAGATAGATTTAGATATACATTTAGATACTTTTTTAAAATCACAAACACCAGCCAGTTTCTCCCTAGTTCCACTTTTTCTGCTAACCCTTCCATTTTTCTTAAGATCAAATCAAAGATAACCTGACCCCTTGTGTCTTCACCCACCCTCTGAAGAACATTATCAGCAAGATAAGGCAGGAATTTCTTAGAGAGATCATATTTGGCAAAATTTGTTTCCCAACAGATGCCAGGTAATTAAAGCTCTGCACCACTACAATTTCTTGCCTCATCGAATGATCTGTAATTTTTTTCTCCACATTTTCTCCTTGGTTAGGTGGTCTCAGATAACAATATTGCTTTTATTCCTTCCATTTATTTTAGTCTAAAGGTTTTCAAAAGCAGTATTAGGTTCATTCCCTTGCATTTTTATGAAATGTATTTTTAAAATACAGTGCTACTCATCTTCCCTATTACTTCTTTTTGAAAAAGTTATATCCCTCAGTGATAAAAGCTATTCTGAGTCTCTCCTATTAGCTGTTGTATAATAATGGAGTGCAAGAGATTTGTAGTTTCAGGCTAAGCCTACCTATACAGAATTATTCTAGGAAATAGTGGATAGGATTGCTCACTGTATTTCTCTGAATCTTTTCCAGTTTGTTTAAGAATTTAATTTAATTTAATTTAAGAATCCATCTTAAATTATAATACCCGAAATTGGGCATAATATTCAAGGTGAGGTACAATCAACACCTAATGAAATTGAGCCATTATTTTGTATAATTCAGAAACTATATTTCTATTGATAAATCCTTAAATTCAGTTCACCCTTTTTGCAGCCATATCATACTACTGAATTATATTCAGTTTACAAAATTACTATTGCAAGTTCACTTTCATAAGTACTATTACTAAGCCAGGTATCTCCCATCCTATACTTGTGTGTTTACTTTTTCTTTCCTTAGTGAAGAGTTTTATATTTGTCTCTGTTAAATTTCATTCTTTTGTTGTTTTGAATCTGATTTTATCTTTCAGGGTACTATCCTACCCAATTTTGTATTTTCTGCAAATTCCATCAGCATTCCTTCCATGGTTTACTATTCTTTTCTGGAATTTCCACTGATTTTAAACTCTTTTCCCCATTGGCTTCTCCTGCTATGGAATTCTATATATAATTGTTCTGAGTTTATTAAATGCTACTTTCTTACAATCTAAGGTTTATTTAATTTTGTATATTATTTTGTATATTATTTAATTTTCCTTAAAATCAAGAACACTAGAATATGATCACTTCTGCCTAATATTCCTGTTCCTGTATCTCATCAATCAAGGCTTCCTTATTTGTTAATATCAGGTCTGAACAAGCAAAGAGAGAGAAGAGAGGAGTTTGCTACTGGAGTTAAGCAGGATGAAGATACAAGTAAGAGTGTCACCTCTTGAATAGCTGCTTAAAATGTTGTGTCCTGAAACTGCTGGTTGCCCATTGTAGATGACTTAATTATTGCTTTCGGCTAAGTAAGGAGAGACTGTACAGTAGCTCAGTTCACTGACTAAGCAAATAGGGACAGGAAGCAAACAGGGATAGGAAATTCAAAGGGGACCCCACATCAAATCTTTCATTTAAATGAAGAGATTATAGTTGCCTAACTTAAAAGCCTAAGGAGGGAACAATAGTAAATATATTTTATGCTGATGGTACCTTAAAGATGTGTGGAGTATTTGCAGAAAACAACATGGCAAACAATTATTTGCAGCAAATGCATTTTATTACATTCCTTGAAGAAAAGAAATCAAAGTATGTGAGCAGTGAGTAGCCACACATAGGTTGAAAAGAGAGGAACTGTGAAAATAATCCCCCAGTATTTGTTCAGCTTGTACTAGGAGTATATAAAACATCTGAATTTGAAACTTTTGGAGTTTAAAATGGTTTGTTTTTAATAATTTTGGAGGTGGTTCAATCTCAAAACAATGTGCATTTGAAATAGGTGCTTCAAGCTTGGAACACTTCCAGCATGAGTGAAAGGGCCCATTCCATGCTCGAATCTGTTCTTTTACATTAAATCAGGACATTTTGAAGTTGAAATTGAGTGTTTTGAATTCAGTCTGACTCAAATTCCAAATGTTTATGCATATTTATTAGTTTGCTTGTACCTATTTATTCAGAGTTGATATTGAACTCTTCAGGGAAACTAACTCAAAAGAAATTAAATAATGTGTATTGCTCAGCCTTGAGCACATCAGTATGGTGTTGATAACTGGGTTAAACTGCCAACTATGTTGGTGGTAGCAATACAGAGAGTGAAATATTGGCACAATACTGCAGATTTAAGCTTTATGGCACATTTCTAGAAATGTGAGTGTTGGAAGCCTAGCCCCTCCCCCTTTTTTTTTGCTCCATTTATAACATTGCTTCTTAAAAGAAAAAGAAAAAAAACATTTGGGGCCAAAACAGATACACAGCTTTGTTTTCTATTCTTAACTTCAATAAACATTTTGAGTCAAAGCTTATTTCACCTACTGTATTCATCGTTGAGACTCAAACCTGCCCCAATCAAGCAAAATTAAAAGAAAGCTTTAATGCAAGAGTGTGTACTAATCAGCCTTGACCACATATAGTATTGACATTGGGGCAACCAAACACAAAATGTAACATTGGCATAATACTTCAATTAAAAATTAAAGGAAAAAAGTTGGAAAACAATTGGAAGACTTGTAACTATTCCAAACAAAACAATTCAATGTACCTCAGAAATGTGAATATATTAGAGATTGACAGAACTAGGCAGAAAGGCTGGATTGCACAATAGCAGTGCAGTTGTAGCAGACCTCATTGTCAAGTGTCATTCAGAGGTAAAAGCCAACAAAGAAAATTGTATCCATACTGTAGGTAGTGTCAGGATCTACGCACGCCAGAACCTTCATTT